GTTGGGACCAATAAAAGACGTTTTTGTCCCGCAAACGGTATGTGTGTGTACACTGTATACCTGTCTGGTACACTCACCACGGTACACGCGTATATAATAATAAATAAAATAAACGTTATTATGTGTTATACCGCAGCAGCGTTTTTATTTTTCGAAAAAATAATAATAATAAAAACGGTGGGCGTCGCGTGCAACCGGCGATTCATTGTTGCCAACATTTTGTCAGTTCCCTGTCACATTTCTTTATTCTTCCTCGCCTTATATACATCTAACCCTTCACTTACGGCACACACACACACACACACACACACACACACACACACACGGTAGCAGATGTTCCCTTGTTCAAACATCATTTCCGTTATTGTTGGCCAAAATATAAGCGATGTGTTAAACTGTGTTGAATGTGATAAAGATCATATACTTAATCGATGTACCTACCAATATTATACATATAACCCTAATAAATATGTGCCACCCTGCCTACCTATAATAACCATGTGTATATAAAGGTGCAACCACATGCGGTCGTTTACAATGATTCCAACAATACACCTCACTTAAGAGATTAGAGAACTCGTAATACCCCTACGATGTGTTTTGTCAGTCTTATTAACCCATAACGCACTTTATAGGCAGAAACCGTTTTACTCTGTCATATTTGATACTATAGCAATTGTAAAACTTAAAGGTAAGAATAATATCGTCTAGAGCACGTAGAAAAGGTTTTTGATATAAAAATTATTAATTCTGAAGGCTGAAACAAGTTATAAGCATTTTAAAATTGTAAATATTAAAATGCCCAGAGAATGTCTTGGAATTAAATTATTATAAAAGACTTTTCAATGTGCTTTAGAAAATATTCTTAACTTTTAATTTGATAATAGGTCAATTTGGTCTAATATTAAAAACGATGGAGCAAAACGGATTCTTCTTAACGTGTTATTGGCGACTGATATAAGACTGAATAGCAGCACGTTCAGCTATAACTTTCCGTTAACAACGTTGCGATTGAAGTTGTGACTTGTGACTACCCAATGTTCCTCTTTTATGTTACATAAAACTGCTGAATACGTGACATCGGCAATTTGGCTAACAACTTCACGGTATCGACAACAGAGTTAGGTTATAGTTAACTACCTACGTGATATTATTTGTTAAATATCATTTTTATTGTCCTATTGAATTGCATTTATGAAACTAATAACTATGAAAATATAGTTATTATATCATTTCAGTTTATTGGTATTTTTTTGAGGTTGGACCTACATGTGGTATTCTATTAAACCCAATCATATTCATAGCCTATATAGTTTCATATATACATTCGATAGAATTACCTATAGTATTATGGCAGACGGTATGAATACAAATAGCATCGCAAGTCATTAGTGAGACATTACCACACAATCTATTACTTAAATTGACTAAGCTTTCATGCGAGCTTATCAACCTGAGTGATTAATCTATATAAAGGGTAGACACTATGGAAGAAAAAGTTTATCTTTACTCAGGCTCGGCAATCGAGAGGGGGAATACTGTTGTTTGAAAGAGAAAATATAAATAGTGTACAAAAGAACTCACTGCCCTAATCAATTAAAAGATCTATGCTCGTATATTATACTGGAATCCTATGAGGTCCAGACTCACTCCCAACCACAAACTTTTTCTTCAACACTCATAATATTTGTTCTTCACACATTGAAAAGTTCAATCGATAGGTTTTCAAGTGCATCTACCAAAAGTCATATATAAGTACCTATCAGCTATACCTATTAACTTTTAATGTATGCATGTCCAGTGTTAATTTAAGATTTCAATAATTGGATAACACAAAGTAAATTTATTTCAGTCTAATCAATACCTATATGTATTAAACATTTATCGATTTATCCATAATCCATACATTACGAAAAAAATATTTTATTTTATGTCATCATTACCTTATTAACTTATTTTATCTAAAAAATCTTATAGTTTGTTTGATAGTTGAGAAAGTATGTCGCAAGTCATTAAATCAAATATATGAAAATAATTATTTATAATTAAAAATTAAAATATAATTGTTATTAATATAGTTTATGCTTTCAACAAAAACAATAATACCAATATATTCAAAGATTTTTCAGCGTCTATATACATCTAATAAATTGTATAATATATAAGCCATATACCACTCACTCACTCACTCATTCATTCATCGCTAAATTACAAAAATTTCAAAACGTATGAACTTGAAATTTGGAATAGTGGTTCTTCTAATAGTCGAATGATCTAAATGTGCAATAAGAAAGAATTTCCGATATTCACATTTTAAAGAGGTGGTCAAACAGAGATATTAAGATGCACAATGGAAATTGAAATGTTTGTATAGTTCATAAATGGTTATAATTGGTTAATCCAGTCGATCAGGCGTACCATTATACAATCATGCATCAAATTGTCGCGCTTATGGCATTGAATTAAGAAACTATATTATCTTAAAACCAAATGTATGTATGTATTTATATATTCCAAAACTACTCAATTGAATTTTACGAAAATTTAAGAGATTGTTTTTAGATATGTCAGAAATGATTTTAGAGAGTTGGTAGTTTATTAAACCACTTAAAAAAATCTATCAAGTAGGTACTAAATGTCTAAATTCAGTCCGTGACTTGAGGTTGCCCATCTAGGTCGAATTATTGAACAAAACTAAGTACACTGACGCCGATTTCTCCATGAACTGTCAACTGAGGTACACTAAAACTGAGATACACCTATGTAACGTATATACTGTATTATACTATATAGGATTTGCCACAAAAATAAATTGCTCACGGTTGAATACTGGATATTTAGCTCGTAAATATATTTAATATATGTCATCGTTTAGATTGTTATCCATTTTAATAATTTCTAAATAAGCACCATAAAAATTATGCCCACACTATACTTCATAGTTTTTAAATTTTCTTATGAATGGATTTGAGCGTATATTATATGTGAAAAAAGCGACGACAATACATGTGCACAGTTGAACACTAAAACTCTTCCTACGTATTGCACATTACGTATGCTATAATTTGAAAGCATTTATTATGTTTCGTAAAAAAAAAAAATGAGTGAGAGACAGAGAGACAATTAACGTCTCAGTAAATTCGATAAGGTCTACGTTACAATGGGCACGTTGACAACATGTTTTCCCTACTTCACACCTACACCCCTGATTCATTGTTTTCCTCGAACCTACAATATTCATAAGAATATGATTGTGTGACGCGATTTTCCAAAAAAAAGTATAAATAATAATGATAATTATTATTGTTTTAACATGTCCACGTTATTTTTCTCGTCAATGTTTATAATAAAATATAAAAATATATTGAACACACGCGTGGGGTATAGTGTCTATATATATGTGTGAATGGTAGGTACATATAGATGGTAAACTATTGCATACAATGCGGTGGTAACAAGTGACAACAATTATTATTATAATATAACGAAATGCGAATAAAATAAATCAAAAATCGAAATGTTTGGCCAAAACATTCACGTGAATTCACGTGTACCCCATATTGTATCATATTATACATTATATATATGCGATGACGAAACATGTGACATATTGTAACGAACGCGGGACACGTAGCTGCAACAGTCTCTGGGGATGAAAACTACTGTTGTATAAGAGGGCAAGCCGGAACCGTTTCTTGGTATACTGTATCGCCGCGGTATATATAGTCAATCGACCACGGTGTAGTACCGGTGGTGTCGAAATGTGTGCCATAATGGGGTGAGATAGATAGAGAGAGAGAGAGAGCAATTGAAGTGATGTAGAGGAGAGGAAATTTTGGAAATTCAATTACAAGTCCGTTGTCGTCCACCACTTATGTCGATGAGCCGAACACACATACAGAGAATACATAGCTTGTATATGTGTATAATGTTTCGATACACGGTGAAATCCGATGGAGTGTTAAACGTCTGGTCCGTCGGGAATTGATACGAGCACAGTACAAACGGCGTCGACGGCAGCACATATAATAGTATATACGCGAGAGCAATGTATGAGGCGAGGGAAATAGATTGGCCGTGTGAATGCCGTGCTGAACATAACAGATGCGGTGTAAATGGGTGGTTTGTAAAAAGGTCTCGGCAGCTATCTCTCTCCCGCTCACTCTCATACTCCCTCACTTGCTCTTTCTCCCTCCCTCCCAACCCTCTCTCTCTAACTATCTCTATCACTGTGTCTGTTGTCTCTGGTAGTCTGGTGTCATCGCTGTTATCATAGGTCGGTGATCCCATCCGGCTGTAAGTTTAGGGGTATATATACCGTCTAGGTATAGTAGGTACAAACATACCTTGTGCATATGATATGATTTACAAAAACATTATATTAATGTAATATATTATAGGTGCCTATGTACATTGCCAAGTGTAGGTGATTGCAGGAAAGCGAGAGTTTTCATGCGGGTTTTGGTAAATCACCTATTCAGAGATTGTATAACGTATTAAAAAGAAACTGTATCTATTAGGCTAAGAGACGCAACGACTGAAATATTACAAGACGTATATTGATAACACGCTGCAGACAAATATTCTCTTCGTCAGCGCCGGCGGGAGGTTTTGCGGGGCCCGGGGCAGATTATTTTGATGGACCCTAGCCTAATGTAATGTAAAAAAAAAAATTTTCGCAAGTCCTATTACTTATAGGTACGCTTCAGTACTTGTATGAAAATTTTATCAGTTTTACATAACTTACCTATACATATTTTTTTTTCATGTACTCATTTAAATATTGTATAAAACGTTCACTTGTAAATATGTATTTATTTCTTAAAACAGTTAAAACATAAATCTACAAATATTATTTTGCTTATACACCTAATTTATTGGATACATTTTTCATATAAAAATAAAATATGTACAAGTTAAATGTTTATGTGAACTGCACTAAAGTACACTAAATACAAGTTTTACACAAAAATTAAAAAAAAACTCAAGATTTTAAAATTTCAAAATTGTTTTTTTCTAGCTTTGGCTGCAGCAAAAATTGCAATCAGCTCACTAAAATCTAAAGAGTCGGTAATTTGTTGTTCAATCGATAGAGTAGCTAAGCTTGTAAGTTTACACTGTGATAAAGTACTCCTTAAATAGTTTTTAATTATTTTCAATTTGGAAAAACTCCTTTCCGCACCAGCTGATGTTACAGGAATTGAGAGTATTATTCGGAGTGCTATCGAAATATTTGGAAAAGAACCACAACATTTTTTTAGTATTGAAAGAGCTTGAAAAGCTGTCGTTTCTTCAGAAATTATAGTACAAAAAATAAGTAATTCTTCATACAGTTCATAACCATCTATATCTTTTAATTCACCATCAGTTAGACCGTTTTGTAGATCATGGCAACATTTTCTTAACTCTTCTTTTTCCATGAATTTTATTTTGCTAATCCGATATAAAAAACCAAAGTTATTATTAAACGATTCAAGCTGTGAAAATCTCATATTCATAGAAACGATAGCTTGATCAACAATAGTTAAAAAATAATCTTGATAAAAAATAGTTTCCTCATTTTTAGATGGTTCATCTTAGTTTCATACGAAAACGTTTTTTTTTTATTTCGTATACGGATTTTTTTAAAATCAGCAGAAACTCCTTTAGCCTCTGCCAAATCTTTAGCAGTTGTTTTTGCAGATTTAAATCCAGTATTTCTATAGTCATTTAAAAATGAGAGTAGCCCATTTAATATAATAGCTGAAATATCTAAATCCATGTTCGGGCTCTGAAGATTTTTGCTTATTGTATTAACTTCTACTAACACGTCGGTTTTTTTTTAATACCTAATTTATTTTTACTCTCACTCGTTTATTATATGAAAAACCCACAAGCTGCAACTGCAGACGGCCAGCCGAGACTTGTATTTTTAAATTGAAAAACAAAATTGTGGTCTTACAAATTATCAAATACCATACATGCAGGCGCGGGGCCCCAAAATGGCGGGGCCCTGGGCAGATGCCCCTTCTGCCCTGCCCTTCCGCCGGCGCTGCTCTTCGTAAATAAGTTTAAAGTAATGAAAAAAACATCAACAATGTTTATGTAGGTAGAGATATTATGTAATAAATTATAATGATGAAGAGTTTTTTTCGTATGATATGCATTAAATAAACAGGTACATTTGTCTAGGTACCTAATTATAATTGTAACGAATACGTTCATAAATCATAATGTAAAAAATATCCGTAGAGGTTAAATAAAATTTTAAAATATGTTATCGTGCTGCACTATGCGTTTATGTATATTTTCCTAATTTCAGTATACACCATATTATATTTTATAATTTTTGTAAATGTTGGTGTAATTAACTCGGTGTTTTCGATTTAAAATTAAATAATTAAATCATATTATTAAAGGTAGGTACCCAATATTATTATAGTACTCCCAGGTAATATTGAAATATTATATTTCACTGTAATAACTGTAATAAATAAAAAGTAATAAAAATGAACTGAAATCTTATGGAATGTTATTATATTTTATAGAAAATTAATTAAAACAATTATGAAGCTTTTAATTAGATAATAATTAAGAAATATTTTTTTTTTTTTAAATCACTATGTTTGAAACCATATATTTAATTTCTATAAATATCTCAAAAATAAATTGAGCTATGAACATAACCAAAAATAGAACCTATATAAAATACAATTTTCAATCCAAATAATATAATATAATATGTAGTAATTAATTCTTAAAGACTATTAAAATAATATTAATATAGGTGATAATATGATCATAATAAAAAAATACCCATCATTGTAAAACCAATAGCATCCGCGATCCACTCAGAATCTAAAATGAGAAAAAAATGTAAATGTTTTAATAGACATTTCATTAAAGGTTTTAAAAAGTATAATTAATCCAATTTTAATGACAAATTAAAATAAGAGTAATTAAAAAATGTACTGTTAATGGAACATAGTTGCTTAAGAGGTTATTTAAAAAAAAAAAATACTTTAATTAGGTACCTAAAATGTATTAATATTTTTATTTTAGATTGAGCTAAATGTGCTTACATCTTTTGATAGTCGATATTACCCATGTTTACAGAAAATTGTTTACACATAACAATATAAAGGAGTATAAAGTTCATATATAATTTTTTCTATATTGTGCATAGGTTCTATTATATATTTAAATTAAATAATATTATAATTATCTATACACAGGTTAGGTTAGGTTAACGACTAATGTCTAATCAAAAATAATATTAAATTAACTAATTAAAAAATAAGTTAATTTAGTGTTAGTTGTTATATTTAGTAGTTATTGTTAATTGTATTTTAAAATATTATTTCTACTTCATACCAAAGTGGTTAAGAATTTTCATTTTTGTGTCTACAGAATTATTAAATTGAGAAATATTAATTGGTTTATTTATAGGTTAAAATTGAAGAAAAGTTATAACGCTTGTAAAAAAAAAACTTTTTAGCTTTTATAAGTTAATATATGCCCATCACATTTTTATATAAATAGGTATACAATAATAATATTAATATGGTAATTGATTATACGATTAACGATAATGGTTGGGGTAGGGAATAATGCATACAAATGTTGTGGAAACAAACTGCAGTTTACAATGATAATATGATGATGATGATAACATAATAACAATTGTTATTGCTATATTGATTTCCGCGGGTGCAGGGAAAACTCGGCGGCGACGAGCGATCAACTAATATATTATATATATATATATAACGATAGTAGCAGCGACCGACGGAGCGGGATGTAAGTATATAAAAGGGTGTTTGGGTGTTAAATTGAAAAATATTTGCCCGCCAATAACCCATTACGGGTGGCTTATCGAAATGCCTCGTAATTTACTCTCGGGGACGACGCACGCTGCACGCCTGCAGCACCTCACCGCCTCGCCTTTGCACACCCGTCGCCGGAGGATGCTTGCAAAGTAACCGGCGGTGGTGGGTGCAGTGGTGGTTATATGATTGCTAATAACGGACGGGTATTTTTTTGCCAGGACGTCCATTTGAAACGCGAGAATTCGGCTTACGCGAGCCCCGCGGGGGGGGATTTGTCCGCGCCTCAAGACGACGTATATATAGTGCGTTAGGAGTGCAATAAACGGAAATACTTTAAATAGCTTCTGCGATCCAACATGGCGACGACGGCGACCTAATCCTCTCGTCGTCCTCGGGCTGACAATTGCGCGAGCTTTCCTCGATCCAATCAACCGGAATTCCGGCGGCAACACCACCACCACCGCCGCCGCCGCCATCCGTTTGGATTCTCCGATTAATTCGTCTCGGTAACCCGGTGATTTCTTTTCCGACCACGGCACGTACCACGATACGTATTTATGTATAGGTATACGTGTGTGTGTGTAAACCAAATAGGTATAGATTATGTGTGACAGTAAGATATAAGGTATTATCATACATCAGTTTACGGTTATTGGGTTATAACCACGTCCCAGAATAGGAGAGTTGCGTTCGTGTAATACGCGTGTGGTGTTGTATAGGTACCACTGTTGCTGCTGCTGCGTACCTAAGTGAAACTCTATAGGTTCGTTATAATATTCCACAATGGTCCGCACGGCGGAAAGTAGGTTAATTCATAAGACTGGTATAGGTACAATGAAATAATCGAGTAGGTAGGTAAAAAACCACGAGTCGTCCTTGGTTACATGTGGTATGTCAAGAGTTTGACGGAAGCAGTTATACAGATTAGTGGGTCCTGGCAATGGATAGGGAGAGGTGAAGTGTGTTTGTCAGTATCGTCTTAAAAGCTGATTACCAAGATGAAAAAGAAGAAGAAACTTGATTGAAGAAAAGAGATTTGATAACCTCTCATTATATAAACCAGCGCACATTACTACTGTGGTAATGATATCTCACTGATCCCACTATTATCAAATTATACACATTATTTGATACGTAATACGCTCGTATTAACAATATAACAACATTATTAACAATATAACTATCTCGTTCCCTCACTATAATAATCTAATGACCGAAATGACCGTACTTATCGTCTATCACATTGCTCGAATAACTGCACAACATTTTGCATTGAGTGGAAATAGGTTTTGACAGTTATAAGGGCTAGAGTCCCTTGAAAATCAAAATTCAAAATAACCCGCGAAGGTGTAAGGCCCATCATGGGCGTCATTAGAGTTTAGTAGACACAGGCTAAGTTTAACAAAAGTTGAAAATGAATCATAAAGTAAAAACGCCCCTCCCCCTCTCATCATTAATAATATAATAAGTATAGGTCGGTATATTATATATTTTATAACTGCATAATAATATATTTAGATACAAATTTGTATAAAATATAATTTTATATATACCTCATATTATATTATTATTAAATGATTCTCTTTCACTTTCTATATTGATTATTTATTATATAACTAGACACTGAATCTGTTTCGAATCATAGGCCACCTAAATACTAGATGTATGATTTGAATCTCTTTTTACATAAGCTCATATGAGGCTTACTTGGACAATATTAATATTATATAGGTATATAATACATTATATAATTATCAAATATTTTACACATTGAAGATTGAACCCATGACAGTTTTGTTTATGCAATGATTTGGGTTTTAAAATCCAGGGAGAGCTAAAACGTAAACCGGAATTTTCAGAGGGGGTCTAAAACTGTTTTTAGGGTGGAGGATCCTAGACCTCCATAGGTACGTCGATGCATACCGTGTGTACCTATTAAACTATTATAGAGTACAATTATAATTTAGGTGTAATATTATAACCACGCGTCGTTGAGGGGGATGTCCGGACGGCAGCCTATATTAATAAATTAAATTAGGGCACGGGACTTATAGCACTAAACATTTTAGAAATAAACGCTTACAAAATCGGTTAAAACATCATTATAAGCATTCAAATCAGCATTTATATTTCATAAAATTAAGCTTAAACACATAATCTTAAAATGACCTTAAATAGAGGAAAACTATGGGATGTTTCAAGTTTTATTTTAACATATAAACTAATAAGTTATTTATTTGACTAATAATTTAAAATAAAAATTTGTTTATTTAATACAATATACGTATAATAATAGAATCATTTTAAACTTCAAAGCAAGTTTTGAGGAAAAAACCATTGAGAAGAGTCTGGTCAGGTCAGTGGTCTAAGTGTAATATATATAAGTGTTATATATATGTAATATATCAAAAAAACAGAAAAACAGTTAATAAGGCGGGAGTATTTTTTTTTTAAATAGTCGAAACGAGCAAAACAATATAAACACTTTCAAATTTTATATTTTAAATGGTTGTGACATGACATACACTTCCGTAAAACTAGATTTTATGTCAAGCCATAAAAATAAGCAAATGCTTAAGTCTTGAGCTCTTCTAGTAATATAATATAATATT